ATGCAAAGCAGTTCCTCTGGGATGGCAGCTCTGGCTCCATTTTAAAGTCCCTTTCTCATCTACGGCCATGCCACCCTGAATGTACCCGATCTCGTCTGATCTTGGAAACTAAGCAGGGTCAGGCCTGGTTAGTAGTTGGATAGGAGACCACCTAGGAATACCAGGTGCTATAGGCATTAAAAAAAAAACCAAACAACCCCTCCCACCTCTCTCTCCTCTCTCTCTACACACGTGTGCGTGCACACACACACACACACATATATACATATATATTTACAGTGTCCTCTGAACATTCATATGTTGAACCTCCAATATGATGGTATTAGGAGATGGGGCCTCTGGGGTGGTAATTAAGTTTAGGTGACATTATGAGGGTGGAGCTCCTGTGATGAGATTACTGTCCTTATAAGAAGAAAAGAGACCAGAACTTCCTCTTTCCACCATGCAAAGACACAATGAGAAGGTGGCTGTCTGTAAACAAGGAGGAGGTCTCACCAGATACCGAATCTGCCAGCACCTTGATTTTGGACATCCCAGCCTTCAGAACTGTGAAAAATAAATGTCTGTGTTAAAGGCACCCACTCTATGGTATTTTGTCATGGCAACCTGAGATGACTAACACAGAGGGGCTGTGGTCTGCGCAGGGACACAAGTGTGCCTGCTGCACCAAACAGAACTAAAGTGGCATGGGTAGGGCCAGTCTGCCGCCTGCCTGTCGTCAACCTAAATAAAAAGGTAAACAGAGACAAGCTCAAAATTGTCAAAAAAGATGAGTTTATTCAGTGATAGCAGAGGAATTGCAATTTGGGACATGCAAACTGTAATAAGCTACAGGTGAGTCCCTTGAGGATTTGGGGGAGGCTGTATTTATGAGCAGGGAATGTAAAAAGGGAAGAATTCAGATAGAGTCTGTTAAAATAAAAAACAAATGGAGACCAGCCTTAAAAATTCTCTGAGTAGACAAAATGAGTCCAGTTATACAAACAAAGCTCCATTCAGCTGATTTTGTGAGATTAACCCAACCTGGGTCATTTCTTGTTCATGCCTCTGGAAACCACAAGCAAAACTTCCCAAGGTTGATATGAGGCAACCCCTGACCAACTCCCTGTCATTTAAGGAATTCCAATATTACCAGTTTTTTTGTAAATCAGGCATTTATGAAAAACCAGTCTCTCAGTTCTAAAGTTTTGTTTTCCCGATGGTGTATGTGTGCGATTTTCCATTTCATATTCTCTGGTTCCATTTTAAATTGAAATTCTATCACACTGCCTTTGCCCCCAGAGGGGTTGTAAAGGGAACCCGATTTTATAGGTAGGTTTGGGGGAGGAAATAGAGGGATTCAGAGACTTGAGAAAGGAGGAAGCATCTTCTTCCCAGGAAAACCAAGAAGCCCTCTTCTGAGGGCAACAGCTAACTCCCAGCAGCGGAAGGTGTGGTTGGTGTGACAGTGAGGGACAAGAAGCCTGGAGCCCTGGGAGAGGCACCAAGCAGGTGGGGGGCCACACTCATCCCCTGCAGGTGTGAAGGTGTAGCAGCTGGAAACCTCTGTCTGCTCTGCTTAGAGCAGACTGTGGATGTTCCTTGCCCCAGGGTGGTAAGAGGGCTGTTGCACTGGAGGAGGCATGACTTGGATGTCAGGGACCTCAGGGAGTGGTCTGAGGATGGTGACAGATCCTTATGTTCCAGGCTCCAGAAGAAGCTCCAAGCTTCCAGAAGAGAACAAATTGATAAACTGGACTTTATTACAATTAAGACTGTCTGCTCTGCAAAAGGTTAAGAGAATGAAAAGAGAAGCCACAAACTGGAAGAAAACATTTGCAAAACATTTCTCTGATAAAAAAAAAACAACAACTAGTATCCAAAATATACAAAGAAAGCTTAAAATTCAACGATAAGAAAAAACAGCCCAATTAAAAATGGGCAAAAGATCTGAACAGACACCTCGCCAAAGAGATACACCATGGCAAATAAACATGAAAAAACGCTCAACATCATAGTCATTAGGGAATTGTAAATTAAAAGAACAATGAGATCTTATACACATCCATTAGAACAGATAAAACCCAAGACAGTGACAACACCAAATGCTGATGAAGATGTGGAACCACAGGAACTCTCATCCATTTGGTAAGAATGAAAAAGGACACAGCTCCTTAGGAAGAAAATTTGTTTTTGTTTTTTTTTTTAAATTAAGTAAACTTATACCAGATAATTGAGTAATTGTGCTTTTTGGTGTTTTTGTTTTTTTTAAACTAAGTATACTTATACCAGATAATTGAGTAATTGTGCTTTTTGGTATTTACTCAAATGAGGTGGAAACATATCCACACAAAAATCAGCACATGAATGTTTATAGTAATTTATTCATAATTGCCAAAAATTGGCATCAACCAAGATGTCCTTCAGTAAGTGAATGAATAAACAAACTTGGGTACATCAATACAATGGAATATTACTCAGCGACAAAAAAATAAACTATGAAATGAAAAGACATGAAGGAACCTTAAATGCACATTGCTAAGTGAAGAAAGTCAATATGAAAAAGCTATATACTATATAGTTCTAACTATATGATATTCTGGAAAATGTGTAACTAGGAGACAGTAAAAAAGATGATTTGTTGCTAGTCTAATTAAGAAAATAATGTTTTCAATTTCTTTAATATATATCAGCTTACTCCGGATATCCATTTCTTTTGTCAAATTTGCAAATTGTAATTTTGAGTAATGTCTCTATTTTATCCAAATTGCCAATTTATTGGTGAATACATAATATTTTTTATTATCTTTTTAGTGTGTGTAGGCTCTGTAGAAATGTCTTCCTTTTTATTCCTGATATTGATAATTTGTCCTCTCTCCGTCTTTCTGGGGGTTTATCAATTAGTATGTTGGCTTTCTACCTCAGATTTCTATTCTTACGCTTATTTCCTTCTTTTCACTTTCTTTAGGATTGACCTACTGTTCTTCCTCTAGCTTTATGAGATGTAAATGTAAATGATTTTTAGCTTTTGCTTCATTCTAAGATATGCTTTTCATGGCAATAAATTTCCTCCTAAGCATTGCTTTAGCATCCCATGAGTTTCAATATCATATATTATTAACCAGTTCAATATATTTTCTAGCTTCTATTTTTATTTTTTTGACCTGTAAATTATTGAGATGTAGTGCTTAATTCCCAGGTAGTTGGGATCTTCTAGTAATCTTTTTGTTATTGATAGTTTAATTTCATTGTAGTCAGAGAATGTACTTTGATTTCCATCACCTGAAGTTTCATATTTTACTCGTACTTAAAAATAATGTAAATTGTTGTAGGTCACAGTGTTCTATTTCAATGAGATCACATTTATTGTTTTGTCCAGATCCTCTATACTGCTACTGATTGTGTGTGTGTGTGTGTGTGTGTGTGTGTGTGTGTGTGTGTGTCTATTTGTTCTATCAGCTATTGAGAAAGGCGTGTTAAATCCTTTCACTATGGCTATGGAGACTTAGTTCTGTCAGTTTTTGCTTTATAGTTTAAATGTATGTTATTGGGTACATGCAGATTTATGATTGTGATATCTTTTTGTTGAATTGACTCTTATTCTTTATTAAATGTCTCTCTTAATCTTTTGTAGTGCTTCATGCCTTAAAATCTTTGTCTGATTTTAGGGTAGCACCACCAGCTTTTTTGGTCAAGTTTGCATGGTATTATCCTTTTGCTTTTAGCTTTTCTGTGTTCTTAGATTTTAAGTGTGTCTCTTGCGAGCAGTGTATAATTTTTAAAAATCATCGGGCTATTCTAGGTATGGAATTCAAAGTTGATGGATTTTTTTTTTCAGCACTTTTCATTGCCTTCTGGCTTCCATTTTTTTCTGTTGAGAAGAGAGTTCTCAGTTTAATTGTTGATGCTTTGAAGATAAAACCTTTTTTTCCCCTTAGGAGTTTGACGACAAGGTGCCTGTGTGTGCCTGTGTGCGTGAGTGCGTGCGTGCGTGTGTGCGTGTGTGCGTGTGTGGTTTAAAAACCAAACTCCAGACTTTATTGAGGTTTCACCAGTGTTCCATCAGTATCCTCTTTCTGTTTCAGAAACCAATCCAGGGCACCACGCTGCATTTAGTTTTCGGTCTCCTTTGGTCTGTGAGTTTCTTAGTCCCTCCTTGATTTTCACAACGCTGACTATCTAGAAGAGTATTAGTCAGATTATCCCATAGAATGTCCCACAATCTGGGTTAATCTTATATTTTTCTCATGATTAGATGGGGGTTATGGGACTTTGGAAAGAATATCATTGGTGAGGTGCTCTTATCATGTAATTCTTTTGATCCTGTGAGATATGCCAATTTTACTGAATATGTGGGTTGATGTGCTCCATCAATTTTGGCCAGTTGAATGCTGGGAGAAGAAATATTGTGCCAGTTCCAGGCCCTGGCCCTGGAAAGCATCACGTGTCTCTGCTTACCTGTCTCTTGTGCTAATGTGCTGGCCCAAGGCGCCTGAGAGGCCCACTAAGCAGACCTGAACACGCCTGCAGCTTGGAGTCAAGCTACTCTGAGCCCAAGGAATCCCTAAATGTCCTATAGACGCATGAGCAAGAATAAATAATCATAGTTTTAGTCCACTGAGTGTCAGGTGTGCTTTATGGTTGTAGTAGCTATAGCTGATGCAGAGCTAGAGCATCTCATAGTTCCTTCTTCCTCCATCCCAAGCAGTTGTGTTTGAAGCCTGGTGCTTACCTACTTCTCCCCGGTCACAGGTATATTCCACCATCCCTTCCCCTTTTCTTCTCTCCCTCCCTATGATCCAAGACTAAAACTGCCCCAGAGCCAGAGTCCACTTCTCTTCCTCTCAGCAGCATGATGAGGCTTAAATGGATTAGTGACAGGGAAAATTTCAGTGCAAATATATTTGCTATAGAGAGGAAAATTACAAAAAGGTAAATAAAACAATCACTCGACAATCTTATTTCTGCTATATATGAATGATTTATGTAATTGCCATATAGCAAAATAACTCTAGATCATTAAATACAAGACTAATAAGTTTTATTTGACAATAATATTAAATTCCATTTACTTGTTCTTGGATACCCATTGGTCATGTAGTAGGCAATCTGCTCACACATAGAAAATATTGAAGGTATATGTCTGATCATTCTCTGGACCCTGGCCAGGACGGGGGAGGAATGTCAATACTGGGTAGGAGCTGGCTTTGTCTATTTCTCTCAAGTGTGAGCTCTCTTGGCTGGGGTTTCATGGGCTAGATACGCCCAGAACCTTTGGAGCAGGATGAAGCAGAAGGAGAGGGAGGAGGGTCTCTGTATGGGATCCAACTGTCTGCTCCCATGGTTCCTTTCCCCACCCCTACCAGTTCAAATCCTGGCCCCAAGCCCTGCTCTCCACCCTATCACCCTAGCCCATATTAACTTCAAACTTCTCAAAGCACTCTAACCAGGCAGTTTTACATTTTTTGCTCTCATGTTCTATCACCCATTTTCCCCTAATCAGGTTCTAAGCTCTGCGAGGCCAGGCACTCCATCCTCTATTCCTCTGGGGAGCCCAAGGAGTGATATGGAAGTGGGGGGCATAAGGGCCAAACTGGGAGAAAAGGAGGTGAAGGCTGGAGCACCTGTGCAACCCTCCTCTCACGCTGACACAGGCAATTCCTCCTCCATAGGATACATCTGAGCACTCCTCACCCCCTTAGTCTTGATAAATTAGAAAACAGTGAATGAAGAGCCTCCCAGAGGTCATGAGAGCTCTGGCACCCTAGTACCAGACAGGGGAGTCAACGTTTAGAGAGCAAGACTGTTGATCTTTACTGAGCACCAGCTGTGAGCCAGCCAGGGGGCCAGGCACTTTGAAATCCCTTTTCAACCCTTTAAGGAGGACTTATTTCCCCCCAGTTTAGTGCTGAGGAAAGGGAGGCTCGAAGAAGCTAATTAACTTCCTTCTGGTCGTTCGGTCACAGCTGAATCTAAGCCTGTCCTATCTCCCAAGGACCTCGGATCCAGAATGGGGCTCCAGAGAGAATCTGTATCGGGTCCTGAGAGTAGACAAGTAAAGAGTTAGTGCTGTTTTTCAGAAGACCCAGGGAACCTGAGAGAAAAAATGCGCGCGCGCGCACGCGCGCGCGCGCGTGTGTGTGTGTGTGTGTGTGTGTGTGTGTGAGTGAGAGAGAGAGGGAGTTTGGGGGTGGTACTGAAGGTCAGCAAAGTCTCGCTCATGTTTCTAGAGTAGAGGAGACTGAATTCCAGACCCAAAGGGTTCCCCAAGTCTTTGACAAAGGAAGGGGTGGGCCTGGCCACAGATTGGGAAAAGAGGCCTAGACCATAACCCAGACCACAAGAGCCTTACATATTTAGAAAGGATCCATTCTAGAAAGGATCCTAGACCACGGTAGTGCCCAGGGCCTTTGGAGGTCAGCTCCCCTTTCTACTTCAAGGAATCTGAGGGGTGTGTGACCAGGCCCGTTCTCCTTAATGCCTGTTTCTGTCCCAAACAGAGCCCCAAGGCCCCAGAAACAATCAGCCCCTTGCCCCCTGCCCAGTGCAGGGCCCACAGCAAGACCCTGACCCAGCACAAGGCCATTTGCTTCTCCACGAAGAGTGAGACCCTCACAGCCGACTGTTCGGAGAGGGGCTCAGAAGAAACTGCTTCAGGGCTTTCTGTCCAGGCTGGTGCAGGGTCTCGCTAAGGTAGCGCTCCACTGAAAGTCATGATGGGCAGGCAGAGGAGGGAGCAGAGGTCGGGTGCAGCCTGGACGGCTGGGTCGGGGGACCTCTGCGGTTGGGTACAGAGAGTGCTCTTCTCTGGCTTGTAGCAAGGTGAGACCTCACACCTGTGGGGCAAGGCAGGCATAAGGGCAAGCCTCCCATCCCTCCAGCAACCTCTAGGCCTCTGGGTGGGGGTGTGCAGGAACTGACCCCTTCTCTGCTATCATACTTTGCTGAAGCAGAGCTAGGGGACCCCCTTTCCTACCTGATCACACTCTGCAGGATTTTCCTCTCATCCTGGTCCAGACACACGGCAAAGGGGCAGCTGTTGGATCCAATAATCTGTACCTTGTCCACTTTGATCTGCGATGTGCTGATCTGGAAGGAAGGCCCAGGTCAGCCTCCAGAGCCCTGGCCACAGAGCTCCCAGCCCATAGCTGTTCCCAGTTCCCTCCCTTGGAACGGCCAACAAGGCCTGGGGGATGGGAGCAGGAGTTTGCTTGGCAGCACTCTAAGGCTAAAGGCCAGCTCCAAGGAGGGGTCCTGAGGACTCCATCAGGCCCTGACTCCTCTCCAGCCTCTGTCCTTTCCCGAGCCTGGAAGAAGCAAGTGTCCCCCGAGGAAACTACCCACTGCCCTCACCACGAGAGCCCTGCAGTTCTCTGACACAGCCAGCTCTGCCTCAGACTCAGGGCAGAACCTTTCCACACACATATCTCCTCTCACGAGGAGAGCCATACCTGGTTAAAGCCCTTCTTGGATTTGGGGTTTTGCCTTTTCACCACTTCTGTCAGGTTTAGCGTCAGGGCCTCCACACTGGCATCTGAAGGGTAGGGGTGGCTCAGGCCAGGCTCAGAACCCCTCCCTGCCATCACCCCTGTGCCCTGGCCGTCCTACTCACCTAGCTCCTCCTGTCTCCGGCAGGCTTTGTTGAGGTTGATGGAGGTACAGACCTTCTCAATGTTACTCCAGCGACTTCGTCCACTGATGGCCCCCTGGAATTGTGGCAAAGCCAGATCCTCTCAGCCTGGAGGCCCCAGTACCTGCTGCCTTCCCTTCAAAGTGGAGGCTCCAGATCACCAGGGAGCTGCCCACAGTCGGCACACCCAGGAAGCTCTCCCTCATTCACCTGAGTCTGCTGGCTTCCTCACTAAGAGCCCCTTACCCCTGTATAGATCTTGGTGACTCCAGGGAGGAGCACCAGGCTTAGTCTATGGGTCAGCCTTGTGACCAGATCACAGGGCAGGAGAGCTGAGAGCACCTCAAGGGGTGGTCTTGATTATCTCTCACTGAGCCCAGAGCAAGGAAGAGGGGGGTCCATGGGACTGGAGAACCCCCTCTTTGGATACTTGTCTGAATGTCTCTTTCACCAGGGACCTCCATGTTACCAAACCCAAGATCATTTCTCAGTCCTTGATCAGTCTCAAGGTCAGCTTACTTGACCTCACAAGAAAATTTGAATCTGTTCACCCCTCTCCTCTCCTGGGCTTTCTTGATGGCAAACTCCTGGTTTCCCCACCACTTTTCTAGCTGGGGCCTCTGCTCTGTGTGATCGCCCTCCTTTGTCTCTCACATGATGCAGGGCTCAGGAACTTCTCCTGGGTCCTCTGCTCTTTGCATTCCTACTTTCTCCATTAGGGAACCTCCCCTGTGCTTTTTTGCCATGACTACCTATACGCCCATCTTCATGTTTCATGTCTGAGTTCAGGTATATTCATCCAATTGCCTGTTCTAACTTTCTCCTTCTACTTCTCAAAGGCACCTCAGACTCAACATATCCCACACTCATGATCTTCCCCCATTGGACTTGGGCTGCTTCCGAGAATATGGTACTATAAGTCGCAGAACACTGAAATCCAGAAGTCCAAGTCTCTCCTTTTCCAATCCCTAAGCCCTGAGGCTTCCATAATCCAGATACAGCTCCCATTTCTTTCCATCTCCACCACTACCACCACCACCAGTCTAATGCAGGCCACCCACATTTCTCTCCTGGAAAACCTATTGGCCTAACCATGTCACCTGTGGACCCCACCACTCTGTTCTTCACAGAGCTGCCAGAGGGAGCTTCCATGTCCCACACATTCCCAGCCCCACCTCAAACTTCAGCCACATCAAAGGATACCCATCACTCCTCTCATTACGATCAAGGCCCTTGGTATTCCGGCCCCGCCGATCTCTGCAGCCTCCCCTCGTCATCACGTTCACACCCACTCTCTCTGCTCCAGCCTCTCTGGCCTTCCTTCCGTGCCCTTGGATGTTCGTGTTCTCTCCCATTTTAGGGCCTTTGCACATGCTGGCCCCTCTGCCTGGAGAACACACCCCTCACTTCTTAGCTGAATTAATGAACTCCTGGTGCTCTTTCTAATACTGACTCATTGTCTCTTCTCTAGGAAGTCTTGTCTAGCTTCCCTGAATCGGTCAAATTACCCGCTTAGAGGTTCTCACAGTACCATGTACTTCTCCTTCATCTCTTTTCCACAGTTGTAATTATACATCTGTAGGTTCTTCTAGCCAATGCCTACCATCCCCTCTAGGCTGTAAGCATTTTGTTCACTCTTCACAACATGCCTGTGCCTAGAAAGACTTCTGAGACACAGTAAGTATTGAACACCTGACACATAGGTGCCAAGGTTAGTCCCTCCTGCCCGTCTCCATTGCCACCACAAGTAAAGTAGCCCCATCATCACTATCCCATTCAGCCCTTTTATTGCCTTGTCATCACTCACCACTCTTTGACATTATCTTGGCCATTTACTTGTTTCTTGTCTGTCTCTCTCCTCTAAAAAAGTTAAATGAAGGGCCTAGCCCTTTCTGCTTACTGCATTTCCCCTTGCCCAGCACAGAGCCTGGCAAGAATAGGTGTTAAACGAATATCTTTTGAATGCTCGAAGGAAGGAAGAAAGAAAAGAAAGCAAGAAGGCTCCCCACTGGTGAGGTTGAGCCTCTCGTGGCCTGTACTCCAGGGCGAGACGTGCTCAGAGACTCATGCCCTCCGGTGTGCTCATGCGCAATCCCTCCCACCCCTACCCCACAAATATCCTCACTCTCTTTTCATACCAGTCCCACCTCCCATGCACCTAGCCAGGTGCCCCAGCCCACAGACTCTGGCCTCTGCCTTGCTCTGTGCCTCTGGAAGACCCACCCTGGCCCCACTCTCACCCCAGCCCTGTAGCCAGGCCCTGACACTTCACGGAAGCTGCTGAGCACATTCAGGTGTGGGGAGAACACAGGAGTGGGGAGGCTTTGGAGGTGCGGGGGAGAAAGATGTCCTCTCCCACCCCTTCCCCCCTTCTCTCAGGGTCCAGGGGAGCCTTCTGTAGCATTCCAGCTTAAAAACTGGGGTCCAGGAACCTAAGAGTCTGGCTCTGTGTAAGGGAAGATCAGGAACAGACCCCAGAAGTCTTACCTTGCTGTAAATTATCTGTAGTGTTAAAGGGACGGCCTCCCGGTCCCCATCAATGCCCAGCCTCTTGCTGCCGGGACCTGTGCCACACACAGACAGACCTTTTACTCTCTCTTAGTGCCTCTCAGACCCAAGGGCTCCGCCTACCCTCACCCCCACCTTTGGCCCTGCCTTCTGGTGACCCAACCTCTCAGGGGGTCCCACTTTCCCAGAACTCTGTCTCTTTGTGGCCCTGCCTCTTTGGCCCTGCCTCCCCACTCTCCCCATCTGTCTCCACCCAGGGTCAGGCAGCACCTACCTGAAGCCTTGATGGCACGAGTGGCAGCAGAGTGACCAAGTTCCAGGGAATGAATGAAGATCTCTGTCGTCTTCTCCCCGGTAATAAAAGTCAGCTGGAGAGGGCAGGACCAGGGCATCAGTGTGGACCTCCTGCAGGGGCCCACCAGGCTCCTCCAGCACAGGGCCGGGGGCTGCTATGGGGTAAGGGCAGGCCGTACAGGCCCAGCAGGGCACAGGCTGGAACCTGGCAATGCTGAGGAAGGCCTGCCAGTGAGTCTGATGGAGGAGGTGGCACGGAGTGGCAGGACAGGCCTTACCTCTGTCTGATAGACCTGCAGCAGCACCGGCCGTGCAGCGAAGCGGCAGTAATAGAGCAGCATGTCGGCCAGGATGGGCAGCTGGGTGAGGGAGCCCTCCAGGGGCCGGGAGTCAGCCTTCAGGGACTGCTGGTGGGGGGTGGGGGGCCGGAGCCAGAGGAACAGGTGGAGAGAGAGCAAGAGAGAAAGGGAATATGAGAGGAAAAGAGAGGAACGCACACACAGACATGAGGTACACAGGCAAACGGCCAGAGAGGGCCAGGTGAGATGGAAGCAGGAAACAGAATGGTCAGGGGAGGACCCACAGCCTGGTCTCCATATCCCTCCCTCACTTGGCACACGGGCCTCCAGGGAGGCCCCTGGCTGAGATGGACAAAGCTGGGAGTTGAAGATGGGTGCCCTAGATCCTTTTGAGGACTTTCCCTGTCGCTATAGTGACTCTGTCCCTGGCCCTCAGTGTCCTGGGTTCAGGATCGGTCCTGCCTCTCACCTACCCTCCCTGCTTATTTCCAAGTGAGCCCTGATCCTCCTTGGAGGCCTGAAGCTTGATCTCCCCAAACCAGAGCCTTCTAAGCGAGGTTGTGTGACTGCAGCCAGTGGTCCTCTCACTCATCCCAGGGGCCACTTACCTGGCACAGGACTTCAGGGGGCAGGTGCATGAGGCCCAGCACGTTGCGCTCATACCAGGGGTCGAGCATGCCGAGGTAGTAGGAAATGTCATTGGTACTCTCCTCCCATGGGGCCGTGCCCAGCTCCTGGGACAAGGGGTGAGAGTCATTCCCAGCTACCCTGGATGGCACTTGCAGCCTCAATCTGAGCTTCCCCCTGCTCTTGGAGAAGTCTGACAACTTTCAGTATGCCATACAGCAAAATGCCACCCCCAAGTGCAGAGCAGGGACCACTTCTGGGAGCCAGGACCAGGCAGGAGGAGACATCCTGTAAACACAGGTGATTGCTCTTGGCGACTTCCAAGTAGCACCCTCAGGGAACTGAAACCTACTTATGTCTACTCCGCCTTCCCCACCCCATTTGGTCCAAGGCTGGGGACATACTGCAGAGCTGGGGTGCTTTGGGGAGTCTGTGGGAGGTGGGGGTGTTTGGCTCCGAGGGGTTGGGCAGGCGTTAGAGCTGGTCCCCTGGCTTCGCTTCACAGGAACATAGAAGAACTGAAGCTTGAAGAACCGTGTGAGGAGCGGGCGGTTGTTCTCCAGCCGCCTGGCAAGAAGAAGATGGTGAGAAGGGAGCTCCTTGGTCCCTCTTGGACTTAAGCTTCAAGACCCACATTCCGCCAGCACCATCACTCTGCTACCCAGGGCAGAGTGATGCCCCCTATTCCAGTTCTCACCGCAGGTTGCTGTACGCCCGAGCCACCTTCCCCGAAATCCGATCGGAGCCGAAGACCACAACACGTAGTGTGGAAGCCTTGGGGTCCTCGTCCCCACTCAGGAAGGGGCGGCGGCGCTGATGGCGAGAGGCAGGGGCCAGGAGCCAGCTGGGCAGCTGGGCGTTGAGCTTGGGCTGGGGCAGGGAGAGGGAGCGCTGGGCTCGGGCAGGGGGCAGTGCTGGGGTGTCCAGCGGGCTGCATAGGCTCCCAGCCCGCCTCAGGGGCAGGGCTGTGTCCGAGCTGCCTTCCAGGCCCCGAGAGTCCCTCCGCATTACCAGCTGGCTGGTGCTCTTGAAGAGTTTATAGATCCTGTTAAACTTCTGCCCAGGCCTGCGGCAGCCCCGGCGTTCTCGACTACCAGGCCTCTTGGGCCACTCTGAGGAGCTCTCCTCACTGTCTTCCATGTAGCCACTGTCCATGCCATCCGAGAGGCCCGAGACAAAGGAGGTCAGCAACTGGCGGGAGAGGGTGGCCCCGGAGGCCTGAGATGAGGCAAGGGACAGGGAGGAGTCGTGGAAGGCCTCTGAGCTGGTGGAAAGCAGCGAGTCCCTCTTGGCACAATGCCCATCTGTTTCCAAGTCCTCTTCCTCCTCCTCTTCCTCTTCCTCATCGTCCCCCAGGATCCCTGGCTGGAGCAGCTCCTGTTCCTTGAGCAGGATTTCCTGCAAGATGTCTGCAGGCGAGAAAGGGAGGCATCATTTGGGTGTCCGGACCCTTGAAAGCCCTCTTGCTCGCCCTTGGGAGGGGCGACAGGCTAAGACACAATGGACTTGGGGACAAGAGGGCAGAAGGAGGGTCCAGGCCAGCCTAGGACTCAGAGTACTTCCCTCTGCTCTGCTTAGAGCCTGCTCAGGTGGGAGGGCTGCTGGGGTATGGGAGGCAGCTGCACAGACCAGGACCAGGAAGAGAGCCCAGGCAGTTTGGGGGGCAGGCACCACGAGGGCCCCAGCCAGCTGCTTACCAAAGCTGTCCTGGTTCCAGTCGTAAGTATAGCACCTGGCGACAGGAATGGGGATGGTGTGGAGCTTGCCGGGTTTTGCAGTGTCTGTAAGAACAGGGCAGGCAGTGGGTAAGGCCTGGGAAGGGGTCTTGAGATTGGCCAGCCCTGTCCTCTCGTCTTAGAGTTGGCAGAGGACTGGCACAGGCCACGCAGCCGAGTGGGCCGAAGCTGAGCTGGAAGCTGGGATGCCTAGCTTGCAGCCAGAAGACCTTCTTTCAAGGGCACCATGTGGATGCCATAACCCTTTGTAAACTGTGTAAATGTGGCCAACACAACATCTGAGCCTCCTTTTACAGGGTCCAAGCAGAAAAACAATGGCACTATGTCTTCAGGTGTTGTGAGGAATATTGTATCCCTCTTCTATGGTAATAAAGTTGTGGAAAGGAAGTTTTCCAGACTCCTTGGGGTGAGGTGTGGCCACGTGACCAAAGCGGGACAAGGGGTATGTGTAGACATAATGCTTGCAACTTCTGCATTACCTAAATATGTAAACTATGTAAAAAGGAAGTGCCTTGCCCCAGATTAGCATTCTCTTTTCCTCCTCCCACAAGTCACCACATGATGGCAGCCAAACCCTAACCCTGCAGACAGTAACAATGTCCCAGAGGATGGTGGAGCAAGGAGATGTTGAGGAATGCAGGTCCTTGAGTGACTGTGTGGAGCACAACCAGAAGACAGAACTGGACTGCTCACTGAGGGAGCCAGAGCTGGCGATGGGGAAAGTGGGCCCCACTCTCCCAAGAGCCTTACCTAAGACACCACGGAAGCCAGCTTTCTCTCCCACTGCCTGCAGCTTGGTCCTTAGCCACTGCCGGGCCTCGGCTGCATCCCCGATGCCAGAAGCCAGCTCCTGTGCCTCTGCAGTCTCCGTGAAAATGTCCTCAAGCTCTGCCAGGGTCTTGGACTGAAGTCCCAGGAGGAGACAGGCTTGCTCCTGTACCACCATGTGGCTGCCCGACTTCTCTACCTCCCAGGGCCTTACTGAGGGCAGCAATGACCAATCCCCTCCCTGACCTCATCACCCACCTTTACCCACCACTGACCAGGGACCCAGGCCTCCCCTTACTCCTATTCTCAGGAAATGGTCATGAGAGAAAGGCCCAGAGCCAGAGCACTGCAGAGTTGGGAGGGACTTCAGCACTCACTACTGCAGGCCAGAGAGGAAACAAGGCTGACCAGGGTCTCACAACTGCCCTGTCACAGAGCTAGGACTAGAAACCAGCTCAGCCAGCTTCAGCCTAAATCTCATTCCTTTGAGGCTCTGTGCCCAGCCCCACTGCCCAGGGGGCCAACCACCCTGGTCCAGACCCAGCACAACAAAAGCCTCTTGACCAGGCCAATTCTCCAGCCACTGCCCTGCCATGTCCCTTGGGGTAAGGGAGGCCTGAGTGCACTGGAGACTGAGATGAAGCAGAGAGGGGAGCGTGCCTCTCGGAAGGAGTGCTCTGCTGGAAGGGGATGGTGTGTAGCCCCAGGACACCAGACACATACCTGTAGCCTACGGTGCAGACCTGGGAGGTCACAGTTGGTCCCAAAGGTGGCCTGGAAGGCGTGCAGGAGCAGGGTGATGTAGGCGCTGTGGGGCGTGTGCCCGGGCGTGCTCAGCTTGTTGGCTACGGTGAGGAACTCAGCCTGCACTTCCACTGGGTTCAGCAATAGTACAGTGCTGAGGGCACAGAGGAGTGGCTGTGGGCATTGGGGGCACAGCCACGCACCTCAAACTGGTGCTGGGCCCCGTTGAGGCCAAGGCCTCCCCATAGCCCAGGCAGGGCCTGAGGCCAGAGTGAGGGGGGTTGGTGGTGATGGGGCTTGAGGGTCCTAGTTCCAAGAAGAAAGTTTATGGTCTACTTTTCAGTTTTTTTTTGTTTTTTTGGGTTTTTTTTTTTTAACCAGGTATTTTCAAAGATCTTTTTAAAAATTGAACTCAATTTTCAAAAATTAATTTTACCTTAATTTTTATATAAACATTGTTCTTACAGCACATCTAAATAGATACAAGATTACTCAAAAGAGGGTTGTATTTTAGGTGAGGTGACTTGAAGCCAAGCGATAATTCCGTGGAGGGGGAAGGAGGGCAGACACACGCCATGGTGCAGTGTGGCCTAATGTGGCCTCAGGAAATGGTCATGAGAGAAAAAGCCAAGGGTTGTGGCATGGAGTAGCATATGCCAGGAGGAAGGGGAGACAAGTCAGGGCTGCATCTGAGTCCTCCACTCCCAGGGGACACCTTTTCTAAATTGCCAAAGCTAGTTACTCGCACAGGCTAGTATCAGGCTGGGGAGGGAGTGGTGTACTCAGCCAACTCTACCTCTCCTCCCGCTGCACCCTGGGCTCCTCCTTGGTGCCAGTGTTGAAATGTGTTCATTATGAAACTTTCAAACACACCCAAATGTTAAGAGAGTCATGAACCCCGAGGGTGTGGATCACGCTGTTAACAGTAAACAACACCAAACTGTTCTCACTTCGCCCATGTCAACCCTCATTACTGCATTTTCTCGAAGTATGTTCAAACCATGATGGTCTTATATCTATAAATGCTTTAGTATGAACCTCTCACACTTGCTCCTGCTCTCTCACAAATCCATGCTATGTTTAAACTCAGTGCAGAGAAGCACCAGGTAGGTAGCATTCCCTCCGATTTCTGTGGACGTCTGTCCCAGAGCAGGGCCCTGGGCTTAAGGCACAGGGACAGGACCAGGCTCTGTCAAAGTCCCCATCATTTGGGGAGAAACTATATTTGATTTCTCTATAAGAAAAAGGCGGTAGGCCCACTTGAGCAGCCTCTAACTGAGGCCCTCTCCACTGAGCACTAGATCATTCCTTCCACAGACATGCTCTGAGCCCCGCTGCGTGCAGGACCAGGCCAGCCAAGCCTGTGCTCTCGCCACTGCATGCTTTCACTGCCGAAGAACTTGCCATTGTTCCCATCTTACAGAATGAAAATGAGACCATCTCTCAGCACCAAGCCCTTTCTATTAACCTCCCTGCTCCTCAGGTCCCCAATCTAAAAAATACCTTTCTCATAGAGTTAACTTGAGGAGTGGATGCTGTAGCAATGCTTACAGCAGTGCCCGGATCTCAGCAAGGGCCCGACAGGTGTTGGTGACTACTCACCATTCACCTGATCCAGCCCCCGGGAGGTGTCTTATTTATAGACTAACCTAACGTTAGTTACTAAACATTTGTATGCCCTGTCTCTCTCAAAACCTACCACTGGCCTGCTTGTTTGTTTTTACCTGGGAGAGACTCGATAGACGTTTGCTCAGTGGTGTCAATGTTCAGTGAACCCCTGGGCTGAGGATGGGGAGGGACTGGGGTGACTCTAATTTCTAAGCTGGTGGAGGCTGGGGTCTCTGGGCTTCCAAGTGTCAAGGCAAGACAGCACCCACATGCTTGGAGACCTTCCAGAGGGTCTTCAGAATGGAGGCTTCTCCAGTGCTTGTCAAACCATAAGCCGGGACCCATGAGCAGGTAATTAAATCACAACCAGAACTGCCTTTTAAATGAAATGGAATAGAATGGAACAGAGCCCATCCTATGAAGTAAGGGTAAGTTTATTTCCTGAAACTTGTTTCAGGTGTAGCTGTGTGTGTGTGTGTGTGTGTGTGTGTGGGTGTGTGTGTGTGTGTGTGTGTGTGTGTGTGTGTGTGTGTGTACGCACATGCGCACACGCACGTGCCAGGTTGTCATATAAAATGATTTTTTTATTGTAGATTCTGGTAAAAAATGTTTGGAAATTACTGTTTTAGTTACAGGCAGAAAGACATTTGGAAAGAATGTGAGTTTTTGGGTAATACTGAGGTTCAAATCCTGGCTCAGACACTTAACTAGCTGTGTGACCTTGGAGAAGTTATTTGGCCTCTCCAACCCCCAGTTTCCTCATCTGAAAAGTGGGGTAAAGTGAGGTAATGTGTGCCCAGCACCTGCCCCAATCAATTCAGGTGGTTCTTAACCTTTTTTTAAAAAAAAGTCTCTGACCAGTTTAGGAATCTGATGAAAGGCCCTCAGCCCAGAAAAACAAACCTGTGCACAAAACATCACCAGCCATTCCAGGGGTGTCCCCCTGAAGCTTGTTTGTTGGCGGCTGCGGTAAGAGGGCTTGCAGTGATGGAAGGAATGCCAGATGCATGGAGTGAGGTGCTATAACAATAGCAAAACGATGGGGAAGGGGTCCTCCCGTCCCCACCCCCCGTTTTCCCTGCCTAAGAGCACTCACACAGTGGAGCTTCGGTGACTCCTAACGGGCAGGCCCTGCTCAGCCCTCACCAGTCTCTGGTAGGAGATTCCTGTGGCCAAAAAAAAAGGAAAGAAAGAAAAAGAAAAAAAGAGTTCATAGTTTACCTGTTACTTCAGAAATCATGGCCCTGCACCTTGCAGCAAGCCCAGCACTGGACAATGAGGTTGGGAGTTCCTGGATGAGGTTCAGGACAAGGGGCAGATTAGACCTGAGGCCTCCATGGCTTTTAATGGTATGAGTCCCTACCATGGCTCGAGCCACCCTGCAAAGCTTTTCTCTTCAGACTGTGGCGCTGAGCACACTAGGAGGAGAACTGAGGTCCAGCTGCTCCTAGTTCTTGTCACTGCTCCCCTCTCTCAGTCTTGGTGACCTGCAAGGTGTGCCAGGCACTCCTCGACCTGTTCACTCAGTCTCAGCACCTTCCACAGCTCCCTACCTTCCCCTCAGCTTCTCTGCCTGGCTCCTCACATTCTTTCAGGGGACCCTGAGGGGGCTGTCTATCTCTAAGGTTGAGCCTCTGCACCATGGTCCTCCTTCCAGCCTTCCTCTCCAGCCTCATCTACCTTTCCATCTCCTCTGATTTCAAAAGTGTGGAGAAGAAATGAGCCAAAAGTTTTTCCTTTTTGCTTGCAACTTGATTCAGTTCTGCAGCTGGAAAATAAACCCATAACAGTATGTATTCAGTTCTGTGTCAACCTCGGTGAGGAGATTAAATAATAGTTCACTCTCAGCACCAACGAGGGAACAGAAGCAGGCGATGGGACTCACGGAGGCAGGCAGCCTCTTGTTAGAGCTTGGAAATCATCATGGTGGTCCCTGCTGTGGGGAGCAGGGCTGCCCTGGACTGGGTGTGAGCTGGGAGTAGAAAGGAAATCTCGGAAAGTACACAGCCAAGACTGGGGTTAGAGACAGCCACAAATGGCAGAAAATTACCAATTTATGCTCTGTTCTAATTTAGAACCTGATTGCTTTGGTTTGGGGCCTTTCGTTGGATGTTTCTTTTAGGTGATTGTCACATGTTTAGAGGTTAATGTTATGTCTACTTTGATAGTAAAGTCCCTGAAACAATGGCTGTTACTATCAGGACTTGGAACACCGTCTGGTAGCTGCTAACATGAACAACATGCAAAAGCTCCCCTCATCGCCCCCTCAACTCCCCAGTAAAACGCTGTATCGAACGGGAACATTCGATATCCCTCCAGAGGCTCCGAGGCAGAACACACAGACAGCCTTCTCTTGACTCTTCTGCACTTTCCTTTTACTACATAACAGGTACCCCGCACTCCGCGGGCCAATCGCTTCACCTCTAATTGTGCCTCTATTGACACAGGCCACACAGCTGGTCACACTCCTGAGGGGAGGGCGGTGGGAAGCAGATGGTGAGATCACTCTCCCTTCACATCAGGTTCCCCCAAACACCGACCATCAGCATCCAATCCCATGGTACTCCTGGAACTGCCCTCCTGAACTCACAAAGCCCAACACCTCGACCTTATCATCATTCTCCTTGAATAATATATTTTTGAGTGTTTGATACTGTTGGCCACTTTTTACTTGAAGCGAAGCTTGCTTTTCACCATTAGTCTTCATGACAAGGAACATTCTTCCACATCTTATATTTCTCTACCTGTTTATCTTAGGATACCCTAATAGTCTCACTTGGGAATTGTAGTGTGGTTAGAGCTGGGATCTGCTTCTTATCAGCTATACTGGCTCCATATAATCTTGCCGTTTGCCTGATTTTGCTGCTAGGGGACTTTTAGGAGGATAGCTGTGCCCCTTGACACACCCTCACCCAGAGGGAGTTATTTCCAGAGCTAAATATCCTAGACACCAGCAGTTCCCAAGTGGAGCACAGAGCATCAGATAGAACTCCCTCCTCTCCCCCGCCCCACCACAAAAACATTTTTAAAACCCAGTAGGAGGCAGTCCAGGGTGATCACAGTGGTCCCACAAACATCCTGGACCAAGCTTCTCCCATTTTTCTGCTCTACCATCCTTAGCAGGAGATACCATCCTCAAGGTCACTTCATGGTCTAAGATGGCTGCTGGAGTTCTGACCATCATGTCCTCATTCCAGTACACAGAAAGGAAAAAGTGAAGGGGGTTGCAAAAAGTTTAAGTCACTGTTATTTTGGGCTTTCTGTTATAGGCAGCTTGTTCAGTTCCAGCTGATCACACCCTATGATTTCCTGAACAGCTGCCTTTCACTCCTTTCCTTAAATCTCCCCTTGTGATCATGTGATATAATAAGAAATGTATGTATGTATGTATGTATGTATGTACATACGTATTAATCCCCAATTCCTGGGACAGGGCTTCTAAATCCTTGTAATTTTATGTGTGATAGGTGTGAAAGGAGCATCTTTTGTTATTTATAACTAGCCCCTTTTAACTGGACCTGAGTTTATGCTAATGAGGTGACTCTTGGTGGGTCCCTATGTAGCTTCTGGATAAGGGCTAGTTGCCCTATGGAACCAACCGTGTAATTGGAACTTTCAGGAAGGGTAGAGGAGCTTAATGGGTGAGATGACTGAGTTAATAGCTAAATTTTAATCAATCATGCCTACTTAATAGAACCCCCATAAAAACCCTAAACAATGGGGTTCAGAGAGCTTCCAGGTTGGTAAATGCATCCATGTGCCAAGAGGTGAATGTGCCCCAACTCTACAGAGACAGAAGCTCCTGAACTCAGGACCCTTCCAGACCTTGCCCTATGTACCTTTTCGCCTGGCTGTTCATCTGTGTCCTTTATCACAAATGTGACTAAAGTGCTTTGCTGAGTCCTGTGAGATGTTCTATTAAATTATTGAACCTGAGGAGGGGGTCATGAGAATCCCTGATTTGTAGCTAGTTGGTCAGTAGTAAGGGAGGCCCGGACTTGTTATTGGCATTTGAAATGAGGGCAGTCTTATGGGCTGAGGCCCTTAACCTGTGGAATCTGTGCCGACTCCAGGTAGTTAGTGTCAGAATTGAACTGAATTGTTGGATACCCAGCTGGTGGTTGGAGAGCTGGAGAATTGGTTGGTATGTGGGGTGGTGGGATGAGGTGGGGGACCCATGTGTCTGGTGTCAGAGTATTCTGTGAGTAAAAATGGCACAGATGCTCACCTATTAGTCAATGTTGGTTGGTGTTCTTTCAAGGAGTTTAAACCTTTTGTTCCACAATCAGAGACAAAAAGGAGAAAGTGCAAATGTTTATGACTAGTAATGTCCCCAAAGAAACGTATTACTGGGAAAGAATATTCAGAATTCACCTGCCACCAGCTAATAGGCAAAACTAACCTAATTCAGGTTTGTTCCAGCTTTGACAGGAGGTCAAAAAGTAGGAAGGCACTAAGTGAAAAGAAAAGGGACAGGAGAAATTGCCAAAAGGCAGAAAGCGCTTAGCAGCCAGGACAGCCCAGAGACTTTCAGCCATGCAGTCACCTGCTTAGGCCTCTTGGTAGAAACACAGCTTTATGCAAATGCGAGAATGTGGTTTTTGGAATCAAAGTTTACAGGTTTTGGAATCGAGAAGACGTGGGTTCTAGTGGTAGAGCTCTTGTTAGCAATGTGACCATGTGCAAACTACTTGATTGTCTAGTCTTCAGTTTCATCATCTGAAAGATGGAAATAATAGTAACTATACAGGGGAATGTTCTGAGGATAGATGAGACTGACCCTTAGCAGGGTTTAATGCACCATAAGCACACAGTTAACGCAACTATTGCCATCATCATCATCATCATTATCATCAACAATGATTACAGTTCTAATTTTGACCAGGAGGCTCAGAGAACTTACATAACCTGTCCCAGGTCATTGGCCAATAAGTGACAAAGCACAGGTCTCTGACATACCAAGACCCATGTTCCCTCTTTCACACTTGACTTTATAGCTTTAGCAAGAAACACTAAACTTCTCTGAGTCTTGATTGTCTCTTGTATGAAACGGGAATAATATTGTTTTTTCCTCTTACTCCATAGGGCTGTGGTCTGGGTGAGATGCAATCATTGAGGCTTGTGTGCTTTTGAGTGACTCCCACATATGATGCACACTGTTGCCCCTCAGGATTACGGATAAATTCTTTGCAGGCAAGTATTGTGGTCTGCACAGCCATGCCAGCATAGAGTAAACATTCAACAAACATGTGGGCTCAACTCAAGAGAGCTGTGGTGGGCAGGACCCAGCAATACTGACGTGAGGTTTCCTGCCACCTTCACAGTAGAAGCAGTAGGCACCCTATTGGGGGGTGGAGTCAGGAAAAAGGGGGAGGCCCACAGGCTTCATAACCTGCCCACTTCCTCTGGCACCCAGCCACATCAAAGTAGGATAAACTGTTTCACTAATCTCCATGGCAACTAGATCCGTAAGTCTCCCTGGGTGGAGGGCCCAGCTCTTCAAGTCCCTTGTCATCTTCTCCCTATGATCTTGCCAGGACCTTTCTCTTAAGCTAACACCACCCCAAACCTTAGTGCCCCAGCAATGTGAAATCAATGTGCCTTAGCATTTATCCTCACAAACTTATCAGAAAGGGAGATATTATTATATTCCCATTTTATAGGTCAGGAAACCGAGGCTCCTATAAGTAAAATGTCTCACCAAAGGCCCTACAGCTCCAGGATTTGAAACTACGATGGTCTAATACCAAGTACTGGTAACCACTAAGCTATTCAGCCCCAGCCTCTCCTCTGGGAGCTCATCCCTCAGCCTCCATTCTGGCCCCCTTCCTACTCCCTCCCATTGCCTCCTTCAGTTGGGCTTATTGGGGGTGAGGGCACCCAGAAATAAGGAAAAAATATTGCCACATGCCTTTACAAAACCACGTTTTCTAACAAGCCCATTTAAGGCTCATGTAGAAGATGGTAATTTAGTTTAACTTACTATTTGCTGTTGATGAGGGCTCAGGTTCTGTGAAATTAGAGGTTAACTTGTGGATGTGAGATCAGTGATTTTTTTCAGTATAAAAGATAACCTCAACAGTAACAGTTTTATTCCCCTATATAATTTTAACTAATTTTGTTTCTAATTTTGCAATCTTATTCTAGCTTATGTGAGAAACTTATTTTAGTTTCTCATATTCTCCTTTAAACCAGCACTACCATCTTACTGGCTCCCTCAGTAAGGGAGTCGAACATATCTTTGACATAGGCTCAATATACATTTGTGTGAATTAGGCTTTTTTAATTGTTTGAAGACAACTCTCTGACAAGACAGAGTTAATGGTTTCCTGTTTCAGATCTGCTTTCCCTGGAAGAGGAGAAATTCTTACCACAGGCAGCCTGGTCTGTGCATCCTTCTCTAGACATTTGCCTTCTCCTAGGTCACCAGCATATTGTCTCAGGGGCAACGTTCAGGGGGAGGCCCTCAGCAGTGAATGGCGAGAGTTCCAAGGGTCCTCCCTGCTCTGAGTCCAAAGGACCTCATACCATTTCCATCTCCAGTTGCTGCTCTGCCTGGCTCTTATCTCCAGGCTTAGAACCCCATGTCTCAGAGTCTGGGCCTCTTCGCAGCCTGCCCCCTTGCTCCACATCTGCTCGCAGCTGCCCAGAACAGAGTTCCTGCTCAGCTGCCCACAAAAGTATCTCCAAGCATAGTGTGCATTCAGTGGAGGAGAGCCAGCTGGTTCCACTTGAAACTGGGAAGTGATTTCCCCACACACAGGTGACAGCCCTCCCCGAACCCAATATCTCTGTATCCCTATTTCAAAGTAAGAAAGAGTCATTTAAATCTTTAGTATAGACTGAAGGCCCTGCCAAGGCCTTTGCATGTTAAGTCTTTTCTGTCTCAATTACAGATGGGAAGAAAAGCTTTGCATTCTTGTTAAAGGAATTCTGGTCACAAGCTAGAACCCCAGAAGTGATCTAGATCTGCTTGATTTGGGAGGCAGTGGGGAGGACAGGAATGAAAGAGGTTCTTAAACTGGTTTGTTCATTTAGGGTGTCTTGGAAAGTTAGGATGGCAGTCTGTCAAGTCAGCATGTGCCCGAGCATCTTTCCTAGTTCAACACTTTCTCAGGGTCTTCCTGATTTCTTAATTCTTCTGCCCAAGTGTCTCCTATGAGGTGAAGTCCATATAATAAGTAGACATAGGTTATGGCCAGCCTTAGCCTGTGCCTCCTCTGCTCCTCTGTAACAACAGATGGTTGAATGACTGAGGGAAGGCAGATCAGCTGATTGATTGGGCTAACAGTTCAGCTGATTGGTTGGGGGCAGACAAATCAGATGATTGGTTGGGGAAGGTAGTCAGGAACCTCACTGAAAGAATTTAAAGACAAAGCTTCAGTCCTGAGCTTTCTAGGGTTCATGAATCATTGGGGAATAAGGTTTGCTACTTTTGTCCTGTGTGTTTAATGTGTACAATGAGAATTAAATGTCTAAATAAAGTGTGGTGCATATATAGATTAAACAGTATGGAAGTTCCTTAAAAAGAACAGAATTAAGAATAGAATTACCATATGCACCAGCAATCTCTCTTCTAGGTATCTACCTCAAAAATTTGAAAACACATCCATAAAGATATATGCACCCCAATGTCCACTGCAGTATTTTTCACAGTGGCCAAGACATGGAAACAACTGAAATGTTCTTTGATAGATGACTGGATAAAGAATTCAGTTGGATAAAGATGTGGTACATATATATAATAGAATATTACTCAGCCATAAGAAGAGATGAAATACTGCAATTTGCAACATGAATGGATCTTGAGGTAATCACGCTAAGCAAAATAAGTCAGACAGAAAATGTTGAGAATTATATGATTTCACTCATATGTGGGATATAAAACTGAAAGCAACAAACAAATAAGCAAAAAATAAAAACTCATAGACACACACAACAGGTTCATGGCCACCAGAAGGAAAGAGGGGAGGAGGGAGGTAGATAAGGGTAAACGGAGTCAAATATATGGTGACAGAAGGAAATTTGATTTTGGATGGTAAACACACAACACAATATACAGATGATGTATTATTGAATTGTACACTTCAAATCAATATAATTTTATTATTCAATGTCACCCTCCAATAAATTTAAAAAAATTTTTAATACTATACCACACGCATAGATTTTTTGGACCAGCTCTTTTTTTTCTTCCCACTCAAGTTACTGAACAACTTTTGATCTCAGTAACTGTGCTTCTATGATATTATTTTTAATTATTTTTAATGACTTTGCTACAATATACCTCAACCAAGTTCAATATTTAGGTCTTTGGGGATTGGTTGATTAGAAATAACTCATCGATAAACAACCTTGTAGAAAAAATTTTTGCATATCCAAATTATTTGTCAGGATAAATTTCCAGGAATGGAATTGCTGGGTGAAAAAAATAATGTTTTAGAGAATGAACTCCATTTTCCTGACCAACACTGGTCTTTTTGTTCCTTCTTATGTTTGCCAATTTGATAGGGGGAAAAAGGTGTCACGCTGTTTAGTTTTGCATTGTCTTTATTACTAGTGAGGGTAAATATTTTGGGGGGTGTTGCTCAGCTGTTTATGGTTCTTTTTTGAAGTGCTTGAATCATGTTCTTTGTCTATATTTTCATTAGTGTGTTTGCCTTATTTTTAATCAACTTAAAAGAACTTTTTGTGGGTTCGAATACTATTCATTTATATTACAAATATTTTTCTTAGTCTGTCATTTACTTATAGTGGGTTTTGCCATATAAAAGCTTTAAATTTTATGCCCTCAAATCTGTTGGCCTTTTATAATTTTTGCTTTGGAGGGACATGTTTGGCAGCTCTTCTCCACTCCATGCTGATATAACATATTTTTCTTCCATTACTTTTTTTTTCTTCCATTACTTTTATGGTCTTGTTTTCCACACTCAAATCTTTAATCTATTTGTAAGTTACTTTTATGTTTGAGATAGAAGTCAATTTTTTTTTTTTGAGATAGAATTCTAACTCACTTTTTATGGCCTGTCACTTATCCTAATACCATTTATTAAATGACCGATTTTTTTTTTATCACTGGTCTGAGCATGCCACTTTGTCAAGTAATAAAATTTTATATATTTAATTTGTTTCTAGCTATTTTATTATGTTGTTTCACTAATTTATCTATTCTTATACCAATAGCGTGCTATTTTAATAACTATAGCCTTAGAGTACCTTCAAAGACCTAGTAAGAAAAATATCTCATTCTTAATCTTCTTTAAGAATATATAAATACATAATAAATACATCAAAAAATGCTGCTGTAGAGGATGAATTCTTTCAGACAGACTTTATCTGTTTTGTTAAAGGTTTTAAAAGATGTTGGTATTTCAATTATGGTTACATTTATTTCCGTAACACCTAATGTTATTACAATACTGATTGAATCTAGCAACATGTCTCTTAAATTATTTATCCTTCAGTTAGGCTTGTTTTCTCTATGTAGGTTATTCACATTTCTTCTATTTCTTTTATATTTTTAGTTGCTATTATAATTTTTTTCCATTATGTTTTTTTTCTGGTTAATGCCATTATCCAGGAAAGCTCTTACCTACCTGTTTTCTAGTCCAAAGTACCTATAAGCATGAAGGGGAAGATTACTGACTTAAATGGAAATGCCTCTACTATTTCATTGTGGGCTGTTACTTTATTATTAAGAACATTTCCACATATTAGTAATTTCCATATATTACAGAGGTTGAATATCAGGAATGGATTTTTAATTCCATCAAAAGCTTTAGAGGCATCTATCAAGATGTTTATGTTACTTTATTCCTTTGAGCTATTGATGTGCTGAATTACTACAGTATCAGGCCACCTCTCAATATTTTCTCTTGCTTACAATAGTTTTCTAAGACTTCGTTTTCATGTCTATTATAGAACCTGCAATTTCTCAAGAATTCCTACTTTTCAGGCGTCGCATATGAAAATTTAGACAGTATCAGGCCATTGTACACACTTATCATGGTGCCCATCAACCATCAACCTATCAATTCCTAACACCAGCCACCCTCCCCAGCCAGGACTAAATCTATCCACACATACATTTCCCTGTTTGCTCCTGAGGCAAAGAGAACAAATGAGGGCCTCTTGTCAATATGGTGGGGGCTTCTCCTTCTGACTTGGGAAGCCTCAGAGACCCCTTGGACAACTGGAGCAGAGGCATAGGTCACATGGTGGGGTCTCCTTGACCTGAAATCCTGCTTGGCTTCCCCTAAGAATTCATCCTTGAGTTACTGCCTATGTTCACTGCTTTCAGCCACCTGAAACTGATGCACACATGGTGTACACAGCACGATGAAGAGGAAACTCCAAGATTCTGAAACAAGGCCATGGGGAGGGATGAGCTAAAGGATGAAAGGTGAGAAAGATCATAGCCAAAGAATAGTTTCTGAAGAGCTGGAAACCTCCCGATCCCTGCTCCACGTGCCAGCTAACTCAACACTTACCTGGGGCCTTGAGTTCAGCATCGATGAAGGTGAGCAGTTCCTGGCAGATGCTGCAGTAGGGAACAGGCCAGGTCAGGAATCGGTGGTAGGTTCTGGCTGCTTTCAGAAGGAGATCTGAGTCTGGTGGGAAGTGTGGAGTCTGAAATGGAGAGGGAGTGGAAAGCAGAGAAGTCTGAGTGAGAGAAAGCTCACTGATATTCCAAAATAGAACCTGCAACTTTTCTGGTATGTTCCACAAAGGGCACACATTTGCTGGCAGCAGTATGTCCAAGGACAAGGTCAGGAAGAACTGGAAGTAACTCACAGAGAGAAAGAGTTACAGATGGACAACATGGCTCCCAAGGATGTCTCTACTATAAAGGCCTTGTTTTTTCACCAATCATAACACAGTTTACCCAATATATGAGAGAACCTCTCTGAAAAGCTGTCACCTTGGAGGTCATCTTAAATGGTGCCATTGCTGCCTCTTATTCTGGGGAATGGTCTTCACCACATTATTCTCACTAGAGGCATATGTTTATTCTTTGAAGTGGATTGACTCAGTGTACATGGAATCGTTTGGTGCCACTAATCTGGCAAATACAAAGACTGATTACATAGTGCGAAACTAACTGTTGGGGTACAAATTGAGGTGGACATAACATCTCTTAACAGAATATCTTTCATGGCTCGTGAACAGGATGTGACAGCAGTTCCTCCATGGGTGCCCAACCAGACATGCCAAGCACAATGGCATCCACATGGAGTTACTGAAGCCATCAGAGGGTTGACACCCATCTCAAGTGTCATTGCTTGACAGTTTCTCTCTCACCGTTTATCCTCAGAGTTATGAGGGCTATGCACTCCCCCACCCCACGGAGGTTGTTCTTTCCTTTCTTCCCCCCACGCCCATGGCCCACCCTGGTACTTACACAGAGGACAGTGGAGTAGAAGAGTAGGGCCAGCGGGGCGAGGAGGTCATAGGTACCCTGCTCTTGGACCTGTGAAGAGGACAGTAGAGGAGGGGTTAGGCTCATTCACAGGGTGTACAACAGTAGTGCTTTCTTGTTTTATTCTCTCTTTTTTAAGTGAAAAGCAGTGTAACCACAAGACAAAAATTTGGAAAATAGAAGTTAGAAAAAAAAACATTCACAATACCCCCTTTCCAAACTCAACCACAGCTAATGTTTCGACGTACTTCTCCTTACACCATTTTCCTCTATGTATTTTCCTCTGCAAAGTTGTCATCATAGTGTGTATATTTTTACTCTTAATGTCTTCTACATATAATATTATAAATGAATTTCTGTTTTGCTACATGGTCTCTAAGGCGATGTTTTCCCCCCTCCTGGTTATAGATTTACTTGTTATTTCTATCGTAAATATTTTTTTCCAGTTTGTTGTCTTTGAATTTTATGGATTTTTTTGATGTATATAAATTACAAGTGTTAATTTTTTCTTCTATAGATTTTTGCTTTGGCATGCAAGGATCATGTGACTACTCTGAAATATCTTCTTTTTTCCTTGAAGCTTAATTTTCTTAAATTTAAATATTTAATACACCTAGAATTCCATCTGCTATCTAGTATGAATTAGGCATCTCACTTTGTATTTTTCCAAATGTTTAATCAATTTCCCCTAAGCCATTTAAGAAATATTACTGATACCATTTTATGGCATATTAAATTTTGTTTATATCTTTGGCTAATATCCATTATTTTTATTAGCTGCAGAATATTCCTTCTGGTAGATATCTATGATTTATTAGTTTCATTTTAGACATTTTAGATTATTTATTGCTATTTAAATACTTATGTAATGAAACCTTCGAGTAAATTTCTTTTTCTGTAATTTGTATTATTTATTTAGGATAGAGTTCAAGAAGTGTAATAAATCAATCGAAGTCTATAAACATGATTACGATCTTTGAAATATATTGTCTAATTGCTTCCCAAAAGGATTTTGCTATTTATAATATCTTATATGTATGAAAGTACCAGTTTCACTACACCCTTTTCTGTACTGGTTATTATCATTTTTTGCTAATTTGCCAGGCAAAGGCTTTCACATTATGGTTTTAATTTGCATTTATTTTATTATAACTGGGGCAACATTTTTCCCGTATTTGTTTACAAGTTCTAATTATTCTTTTGTGCGTTGTCTCTTTGATAGAGCTTACCCAACATACCACACACACATGTGCATACACATGATTTAGAATTCTTTGGTCTCTCAGCTCATTCTAGAACTCAAGGGGTTGAAGATGCAGAGAAAGCCTCGCCATCTCTGCTGCACCTGGTGACCTCTACAGGCTCAAATTTATTCTGGATGGACCATGTTTCTGCTCCACCTGCTGCCCAGTCCCTTCTACGAAACCTTCCTCTATCACTGCACAGCAGTTGATCTCTCATGTTTAGGTTTGTAAGAGGTGGTTTAGCAATTCTGAATTGGTTTGCTTGTGATCAGGGTATAAATGCACCAGGCAAATGGCCACGTCAGAACTGGAACCTTGGGAGTCTCAATAAACCAAGACTTTCTTCTTATAGGTAAAGGGAAAGCAAACTGAGAAAGTCGAGTGTTTTCCAACTCAGTTATGTACTTACGAAAAAAAAAAAAAACAACCAAAACTTTAAAGAGAATTCTTTATGAAAGAGCCAGAATCCTCTTTAGGGACTCACAGCTATTCTGAAACCTCAGCGTAGCTCAGCATTAAATGCACTCTTCCTCTTAGTCATAAAAGCCTATTTTTTTTTAATTGTTAGAAGAGGTATCAGTTTACTTCTCTAATCAGTTTTCTCTTTTGTGTCTTTGTTTATACGGATCTTTTTGAGGAAAGGAATTCAGTATGGCTTCTTCCCTCCTTTCTAGTCAATACGTTGACTTATAAGCAATGCCTGTCTAAAGCAGCAGCTTAAACTCAGGACCCTGGCTCACATATCACGTGTTCTCATTGAAGGACAACATCCCTTCCCAGAAACCTTCGATCCACAAGCACCACTAAAACAGAGAACTCACAGATTCTCAGTGCCTTTGCCAAGCCCTTTGGTGTCCCAGGCACCCTAGAACTGACCATCTGTGAGGACCTCTTTCTCGATTCTACAAGGCCAATCCCAGCTCAACTTTTCAGTCCTTGGCTGGCCCTCACCTCTCGGGTTTTCTGCAGGATCTGTTCCAGGAGGATAAGGAAATGGCCTGGATCCCTGCTGACCAGCTCCTGTAGGCTCCAGCAGTTCAGACATAGCCCAGCTGAAAAGAGAGACAGAGGTCAGTGGTCAGTTTGGGGTTGGAGAGGATTAGGAACCCCTGGGGCTGCACTGGGGCATTCCTTTCTAAAGTAAGAGTCTCAGAAAATTCAGGACCAACACTCAATCCTATTATGCCCCATCAAGACATAATGACAAGTTTCTTATTCCTGGAGTCTTGAGAGATGCAGAGAGGGGCTGGAATTCCCTTCAGAGGCCAATGAACCAGCCGTGATTCTGCTTCCAGTGCCTCTGGAGAGCACCCATTCTCCCACCACCTCTGTGCCTCAGTTTCCTACATTGGGTGCTGGAACTCTGAGATGCAGGGAAGGAAGACAGAGGCAGAGACTGCTGGAAGAATAAGGAGAGGAACCATGGTGACATCCTCACACACACCCCAACACAGAGCTGAGTCTATCACAGCCATGGGACTTCCCAGGACTGCCTGGAATGGACTCCAGGAAGGGGAAGCTAAATTAATTTGTATTTTGAAAACTACAATGAGCACTTTGTCATCTGTAACTTCCCCGAAACTTTCTTATTTTGTCAATCTCTGTTTCCCTGGAGTCAGCAAGTATAAACCCCTAATATTTAAAGAAGCGGTCATGGAGGCCTCTGTGTGTGTGTGTGTGTGTCTGTGTGTCTGTGTAGTGGGGAGTGAAAACAGTAGAGGTGGAAGTGGCTTGACGATGAGTTTCATGGAGCTTAAGTTCCAGGCCCCCTCATGTGTATAGGCTCCTTCCAAAGTCCTGAGGATCCCAGCAGTGTGTTCATATGGTCATAAGTTTTTGTAAAATTTGCAAAAGTCAGATATTTTTGGATCTGACTTTTACAGATACAAAAAGAATATTTTACAGATATTCTTTTACTTAATGATGGCCCCCTCGATTCCATCAGCTTAGGCTCCATCAAACTCTGGATAGGAAGCAATTAAAAAAAAAAACAACTACCATTTATAAATGACCTACTGTGTGCTAGTCCTTTGCATACATTACCCCCATGAGTCTCCCATCCTCCCTTAAGGAAGGTGGTTCCTGTAGTTATTATTCTCATTTTATAGACAAGGCAGGTGAGGTCCTGAGAGGTTAAGTGTCTTGTACAAGTTTAATAGCCAGTGAGAGACAGTTTCAGATCTGTTTAATCTGAAAGCCAAGGAAAGCCTCTCAGAGGAGGTGACATTTGAGCTGAGACCTGGATGAGGAAGGGCCAGCTGTGTGCAGTTCTGAGGGGAGAGTTCCTAGCAGCAGAATGCAAAGATCCTGAGATGGAAAGGAACCACATACATTCAAGGAGCAGAAGGTGTCTATCTCATGGGGTAGTTCGGGAGGCAAATGAGATACAGGATGTGAAAAATCTTTACAAATATAAAGAATTATTACAATTAGGCACCAGCCTTCAGGGACACAAACAAGTGCCCCAGACTGCAGATACCCTCCATTTCTCAGTCCTGAGGAACATGGAGCATGGAGGCCTCTTGCTCCCTGAAGCTCTGCTAGGACTGTTCCTTGTTCTATGGGGAAGAGAAGGATGGGGCTGTGGAATGAACTAAAAATCAAGTAAACAGAATTCTGAGGAAAGCCGTTTATGAATTCCCAGGTGCTCTTCTGGAATCAGCAGTTGTGGTATCCCTAAGCAGGTTCAATAACTGCTATGCTTCTAGCACGTGCTAAGGAAGCAAGATACAGCCCTGAGGAGTATGAGGAAGACAGCATGGAAGAAAGAAGAAACTGCAACATACCAAGGGCACCTGTGCTGAGCACCTGCCCAGGTAAGGTCCAGGGTTTGCTCAAGTCACACACAGTTGGAATCAGAATCTGCCAGCTTCTATGCCTGGTCCAGTGCTCACAGCAATGCCTGAGGCTTCTTTGGGCCCTAAGAGCACCTCCTCAGCTTCCTCGGACCTACCTGACCAGGAGGTGGAACGGCGGTTGAGGCTGAGCCCGTGCAAGCAGCGCTCCAGAGCATGCCGGATGCGGTCTTCTGTGCATGTTGTGGCTCCTGGCTGCATCTTGAGTCATTGCCTGCATGGGGGACAAACACCAGTCAGCCTAGAGACTCCCATGTCTGAGTTGCACATTGACTAGCAGGGCAGATGGCACAGACAATGGGCACTCACGGCCCGGTGCCATCAACCTTGTTATAGCTTGAGCGCCATGAATGCAGAATGAGGGGGCTTACAGCTGCCTTCAGGGCTGGAATGGCTCCTGGAGGTGCTGCTCTGAATGGCAGGAAGGGGCCCTCCTGCAGCCCATCAGCTCAATGCTATAGGAAGTGAGGGGTCAAGGACAGGAATGGAGAGGCGCCTGTCCCACCTGGCAGTGGCAAGTGTCTCCAAGAGCCTAGGGAGTGCCCGGAAAGTGGCCAGACCTCAGTAGGCTGGGCAGGAGGACACCAAGGGAAAAATCAAAATTACTTGGGGGACTTTTTCTGAATTTCCAGGCCTGCATTCCCCCCGCCCCCCACCCTCCAGAGATGGATAAGGAGTCTGTTCCTGATGAAAAGAGCACAGAGATCTCCCTCAGTGCACTGAGTGCTCCAACTCTAAGGTCTGGTGGGAACTGCCTTCATACATCCCCCCACCCTCACCCCACCCCACCCTCTGCTTGGGTGCCCAGGCCACAGGCACCTGTTCTTTTAGTGCCCTCACCTCCACTGTTGCCATTTTCCTTTGCTTTCTCTGAGTCTTGGCAGTGTTATCAGTTTCCCAAAGACCCCCACTTGGCACCCCTATCTTGTTCTACCGAGAGCCCCCAGCAGGTCAGCCTAGCTTCTTAGCAATGTGTGAGGACCCCTGGGTCCCTTGGGAAGCCATGACAGGTCATTTAGCGCAGTGAATAAGCCTGGCCTCTGGTATCCACAGACTTGGACTTAGATCTTGACTCAGATATTTGCTAGTCATGTGCCTTTGGACCAATTTTTAAACTTTTATGAACCTCAGTTTACTTATCTGTAAAATGGGATGAAGAGAGTACCAACCCTAAAAGGCTGCTGTGAAGATTAAATGCCATAGTGGATGTGTTGAGAAAGTTTTCAAGGCAAAAAAGCTATCACGCCACAGTCTTTGCCACACCATTCTTTCCTTCAGGAATTTCACTGCATTCACCCTTCCAGGAAGACCCTGTTGCTCACCAATTAGGCCAGGTCATAGAGGGAAGCTGAGGAAGTAGTGGTCCAGCTCTGTGGAACTGGGGACAGACCAGGAAACCACAAGCAGAAACACAGAGCTTAGAGCTAAGCCATGTAAACAACATGCAAAGAGCTACAAAATCCTAACCTGAGCCCAGCTGCATGGCTGGGGCATTCATCTTACAGACAGCCCAGTAGGCAAATCTTCCTCCTCCCCCGACCTGGGAGGAAACATGAGCCCAGGGAAACATAAGCCCTTTGTGAGCTGTCCAGCATCACATGACTTCGGTGATGTCCCTGGGATGGTGTAGGGGTGGGCACACAGGAAGCAGAATGCATGCATTTGTGTTTTCATATATTTACTGACCATCTACTATGTGTCAAGCACTAGCGACACAGCAGCGAATAAAGCAGGCAAGCTACTTGGTGAGAGACAGAGACACTAAACAACTTAATAGACAGAAAAAAAAGAGGTCGTCACTGCAGGTGATCATGCTATGAAGAAAGAGATGGTGCCGGGAGGGGCCAAAACAGGAGCCCACTCTAGGTTGTTGGATGTCAGGAAAGCCTCTCAGAAGGGATATTTCCGCTAAATGAGGAAGCCAAAAGTGAAGTTAGGGGGAAAACATTCCAGAAAGAAGAGACATGTGCAAAAGTCTGAGTGCAGGAATGAGCCTGCCAGTAACTGCAACCCTGGAGCACACACTAGCCTTCCATGTTCCACACCTTCTAGTTGCTGAGGTAGCAGATTAAGTTCAGAAAAACTCTCCGGACCATGGACCTTGGGTGTTTCCACTAGTAGTGCCTGGATGCCCAAAGATGTCCTTGGGACCTTCCAGGGCAACTTTCACAGTTGCCTTGGGGCTTTTTGTCTGCTGACTCCTCCACAGGTAGTCCAGGCCGTGAGTCCACTGACCCTGAGCCAGGTTGGGCGGATTTCAGGCTTTTTGGCTCCTCCCTCACCTGAATTGTGCCGGTAGCCGGCATGGATGTGTGTCCCTAGGAATGAACACTTGTGGTGAGAACTCACCCTTCTACCTTCAGTGGCAGCCCAAATACAAGACCCTCTCAAGCCTGGTCCTTCTCAGGCTCAGAACTAATGGCACCTGCTGGAAGAGTTGGAAGACAAGGCACTTTCAAATGGATGAGTTTGGGACATGACTGGCTGGCCCAGATGTCACCAAAGGCTTTTGTCCCCACAGGCTGATCTCTTCCTTTCAGCCCCAGGGCAGGTTCTTGGAGGCAGCTCAAAGGTCAGCCCCCTGTAAGTCCTTCATTTCACAGAAGGGGCATCTGAGACCCAGAGAGGAGGAGGGGCAGGCAGGGTGGGGCTAACCTGGGGCGGGGTCAACATGGGCACCGCAGACAAGGATGTCAAGTAAGACTTCTGTATTCTGAAACTGCAGACAAGGCCCAACTCAAAGGGCAAAATGACCTGCATGCTAAAGTTCTGAGAGTCACAGTGAGCTGTAAGGAATGGGGACTAGCAACAACACTGGGGATCTTGCTGGGAGGTGTCGCTCCAGAACCAACACAGCTGCCCACCTGCCCCAGTCAGTACAAGAACACTGGGAAGAGAGGAGGGGTTGTCCACCAAGGGCACAGGGGCTTTCAGAGAATCCCTCATTCAGACTGTCGGGTGGGGATGCTGCCATTTTGTTCTCAGTTCTCCCTCTACACAGCCAGCACGCTTCCTTCTGTGTTCCCCATGAGACATGGCAGGGCTGGGAGGAGGAGTGGAGGGGCAGCTTGCAGGCCCACTGCTGGGCAAAGCAAAGATGTGAGCTCTTGTGTGTGTGTATGGGGGAGGCGAGGCAGGCGGTAGACACTAGGAACAAAAGCTGGACTGGAGCCGTTTTGTTGATACTTCACCCTGGAGGGCTCCTGGCAGGTGAGGAAAGGTTTAGCAGTAAGAATCTGATGCAGGTTGGACCACCTTTGGGGGAAGCTCTAGGGAGTTGGATGAAGAGACTGGGAAATTTGTGGCACAGAGAAGTGAAACAACTGGTCTCAGGTCACACAGCTAGGAGGTGGCAAAGCCAGGATATGAAGCCAGGGAGTCTGGCTCTTGACCACTACCACACACTGCCCCTTGGCACCATCAAATGCAGTTACTGGAAGAAAATAAAATCAGTTCATGCTTCTACCCCTCAAGTGAAGGCTCAGTTAACTATATAACATGATCTTGCTTTAAGAGACCCAGACTCCCAACTCCTCGGAATCTTGAGGCCACCACGTCTGTCTTCACAGCTGCCCACAGTCCTGCGATAGGTCCACGGGTCACAGAAGTGGCACTCCTGGCTAAATTGGGCAATGACCATGGTGGCCTATGGGGCCCAGTTGTCTCTAGTCTGGAACAAGGGCTTTACCGTGGGAATTGGGTTTAAATACCCACTCCGCCCCCACGGCAATGGACAAGTCTGTTGTGCAATGAGGTAGGAATGAGTCACCCTGCCCTATTATGTCCCACAGTAACTGATACAAATGTGCAAGATGCAAATGAACAGTCTCAGCCAACACCCCTTCTGCCTCACCCCCGTCCTTATGGGTCAGAACACAGTGTCCTCCACAGAGGCTAAAGACTGCTCCCACACACCTCCAATGCCTGCTGGTTCATGCTTCTTCCCTTCTCTGGGCCCCTGTGACTTACCCATCTCCTGGTCCCAGTGTCACTGGTTGTTCACTTGAGGCAATTACGGCCTTCTCCACGGATGGGCACTGGACAGATTTCCTGGCGTGCCAGCTTCCCTGGCATCCTGAGGCCATCTAGAACTTGCCCCCGGCTTCTCTGAGAGACAGGACCCTGGCAGCTGAGGGAAGTGGAGGCCCAGCTGGGGATCCTCATATGAGCCACCCTGGGGGTTGACCCAGCTCACTGCCTAGTCCTATGGCACGCTCATTTCCGTTTGATGAGTCAGTCATCAGCCGTTTCTTGTGATTTGTCAGCAGAACTCCATTGGCTTTGGGATGGAGATGAAGGGGAAAAAAGGTAGCATCCCTCTCTCTCTCTAGGGATGATGCCTTTTTCAAAGGCTTGGCAAGCAAGGCTTGGCTTCTCCCAGCACCCCATTTCCAGCACCCCTCACCACCTTGCCCAGAAGAGTTCCTGTTGTGAAATGCCATTGGCCGCTGGGAATGGGAATGCCCACCCCCATCCACCGTGCGACAGTGCTGAAACTCGAAAACGGGGCTTGCCTCCACCTCCAAGTTCCTCTTCTGACCCAGGAAGGATGAGTCTTTACTGGGGACACTGAATATAACAATTTGGAGAAATGGGCCGAGGGAGACCTCCTCTTCACATGTTGACATGACCCCATGATACAGAACGGGTCGTCTTCCATAACATGCAGGATTAGTCAGAGGGCCAAGATCGGCCTGGGGCCCACTTCCTGAGACAGCCCCATGGGAGGCAGGGAGGAGGGCTTCTTTTATTAGGGGACTTCTCAAATAGTGCAGAATGGCAGAATTGGAAGGGCCAAATCTCACAGAGAGAGAAGCATGGGCCTCCAGGCTCTGGCAGGCACCCCACGGTGCTTCCTTGGTGTTCTAGAATGTTCTAGGACTATGCACTGAAGCCTTAGTCCCACAGGTAGAAATAAGAGAGACACCAAGGCAGGTGGTTTTGTGCTGACCCCACTTGCTTCAGTCCTAGGTCAGTCTTTCCTCTCCCCCTTTCTCTTGTCCCTTGTGGCTTAACCTCCCTTCCTGCCCCCATTCAGCTCCTCATGACTGTGACCTAATTTTAAAAATTCTCCCTTCCAATACAGGAAGGAGGCATCAGAAACTAAATAGATTGGGATGAGAAAGGGGTTGAAAGCAGAGAGGAGCGATATGGGGGCTGGGATCAGAAGGGGCAACACTTCTCTGGGAATTCCTTTATGTATCATTTCGACTCTTAGAACCATAGCAATATTTTACAGATCCCAAACTAAATAAATAACTCAAATAAAACAGGATGTTAAGGGGGGAGGGCAAAAATGAAATACAAACAATAACAAATTAACCTAACTGTATTATAAATGATTAACATAACCACATTGAAAGTGACAGAAAGTGAAAGAAGTAACCTGAGTAAATTTGGAAAATAGCATTTTGACTGAATACTATTAGGCTAAAGACAAAAAGAACTATAGACGAATATTGTTTTTTTTAGTTATTATACCTGTTTTTCATAGGGATATGGGTTAAACATCCTGAAACTTCATTATATGTATGCTAGGATTGAACAAATAAGTAAATATACATAGATAACAAGAGCCGATTTCTCATTGTTAGAGAAAGAAGTTACAAATAAGGAAAAGAGGGAGGTCTAGAATGAACCAACCTTATCGTGTTAGACTGGAATTGGAGAAATCAATATGAACATATATAAGTAATAAAAATGTGTATATGCTTGGATTAATATGCACACGTATATTTTCTAGCTGTCTACTGAGAGAGCCTAGAAACAACATCCCAGAAGGTATGAGCACACTTAATGCCCAGATCTTGGTTTCTAAATACCACTCTCCAGTCAAAGGAACCAATGGCTGATTCTAGGACTGGGGCAGAAAATATATAAGATAAACCTGGAGCATCTCGTATTGCAGAAAATAAATCAATACTTGCAAAAGGATAAGGAATGTCAAAAGGACATGGCAGCTAGCTTGAAGGAGCTATTAATGGCCAAAGCCAGGATAACTTGAAAAACTACATAACAAAAGGGTTGAATTATAATTCATAGGTTGAAATAAATACCCATGAGTTACACTATTGTTATAAATAATAAAATTAAAAATAAATAGAGGTGAAAAACAGGTCTCTTTTACAAAAGAATTTCAATTAATAAATGTGGGAAGAATGAGAGAAATACAAAATCGCCATTAGGCAAACACAATGGTAATAATTCTGCAGGCAAAGCCATTGATGGATGCTAAAATCTGTGGGTGAAAATCTGAGAGGAAACAGGATATTTGCATAGCCTCGGAGTATCCCACCCCAAGAAATTGATCAATTACAAAGGAGAAAATAATAACTTTAGAGTGGAGAAACCCAGCACCACCTTAACCTCATGATCAAAATTAATATCACCAATAATAAGACATATCAACATCATGTATCCCCTAATATGATGCACCGAGAGGGATATGACATAACTTTTGTGAGATGCTTCCAAAAATGCATAACTATGAGAAAACATTATTTAAAATCCATTTGAGAGAAATTCTAACTGACCAATACTCACCAAAATGTCAAGGTCATAAAAGATAAGGAAAAGCTGAGGAACTGTCACAGATTGGAGGATACTTAGGAGACATAAAACCTAAATGCAATGTGAGATCCTGGGCTGAATTCTGGAACTGAAAGGGAAAATGGCAGGGGAAACAACTAACATCCAAATAAGGTCTGTAGTTTAGGTAACAGTATTATACCAGGTTTTGATAACAGCACCATGTAATGTAAGTTGTGAACATTAGGGGAAGCTGGGTGGAGGGCATACATGGCTCTATGACCCTTTATACAGTTACGTACTCTTACATATCCTTTATATATCTCTCTCAGTTATCCAATGTCTTGCTGCCCTTCATGAACTTGTTTAAACAAGTTGCTATTTCATGTATAGTCACTGTTCCTAATTACTGGTGAGTGGACCATGCAGGTCTGGCTGCCTTAAAATCCCCTAACTGGGGCTGAGAATCTCTGGGGTTTCTGGAGGGTTTCTGAGGGCTCTCTATGAGAATGGTTATGTTGTTTTACATTTTGATGGCAATCTAGAAAAACTTAATAATGAATACATTCTGGAACATCTTGATGACACCTACGACCAAATGGTACCATACAATGTTGATGCCCAGTTTGTATTTGTGTCTGTCACTGTTTTGGTGTCACCTAAAAGGACCGAACATGCTAGGTGTGTCCTTGGGGTCTGCAAGAGCTCAAGGTTGAGCAGAATGAGTTAATATATGGAAAATGTTTAGAATAGTGCCTGGCACATAATAAACGTTCAATAAATGCTATCTATTAACTATCAGGGTACTTTCTTAACGTACACAATTCTGCTGCCCAAATCTAGATGCCTTTGAGATTGGGCCAAGAAATAAAACACTCCCTGGATGATTCTGATGCACAATGAGGCTTGGAAATATTTTCTATTTTACAAATGCACATATACATACACTGGACTGTAAGATGAGGAGGGCACCTTAGAGATCATCTAGTGCAACTCTCCCATTCTACAGATGAAAAGATGGAGGCTCTGGGCAGTGGAGGGACTTGCCTAGGTTAGGAAGTGTCAAATTTATAACTAGAATCTGAGCCTCGAACCTCATAGTCACAGTACCTCTCGCTTAGGTGAGAATCAGCCTCTGCTGCCAAGCAGTGAGTGCCTCTCCTCAAGGTTATTTTTGGAATCCTTTTTCAAATTTCTTCTGGAGTTTTGGGGCTCTTTAGGTATTCAATTTCTTCATGTGTTGATTTTGTGAATTTAAGTTTTGACAATATCATTCATTTTAATCAAGATTTAAAATTTTATTAGCAAAGATCTGGATCTAGAATTCCTAAACAATATTAAAAATTATTTCTGAGTCTATGATTTTAGCTTCTCTTTTAATCTTAATGTCGTAACATTACAATTTTTTTTTAAATACAGGTCCAGATTTTATTAAATATCTTTACACTACATCACAATTCTTTATATAATTATTTTTGACATTCATAGTAAGTAGAATAACTATGATAACAGCAATTGTTTGTTTGTTTTTGGACAGGGGCTTTAAGTTTGAGTTATTTCATTGCTGTTTTGTTTGTTTCGTACCATGCCGTCCCTGTTTACAAGTTCTTTATTGTAATTCATTTCTTGCTCAGCTCAGGTATTTCGAGTAACTTCAGGATGAGTGTGTGGGTGAGGCACTTTCTAAGACTTTATGTGTCATATGTCATTCACTGAGGCTCAGTATGAATTATAGCTTTGCCAAATATAAAATTGGCATAATTCATTTTTTTCACCCTCAATATATTTATGTAAACCCAAAATAATCAACTGAAAAGTGGCTATAGCAAAAAATAGAATTAAGTAAGGTGATTGGGTACAAATTAGAATAGAAATTGATGTCGTTCAATTATACAAATAAAAAACAGAAATTGTGTTAGAAAAAGATCCCACATATAATAGTAACAAAAAGAACAAATAAGAGAAAATAAGCTTTAAAAATGTGCAAGATTTCAATGAAATAAAACTTCTGAGGGACAAAAAAAGCAAACAAATAAATGAAAATGCCTACCCCATTGTTAAGTAGGAAGATTCAATAACATGAAGGATTAATTCAAAATGAATCAGAGACTAAATGTAAAGAGCTTAAACTATAAAACTCTTAAAAATGATCATTTGGACTACATCAAAATTTAAAACTGTGTGTCAAAGGAAACAAGAGTGAAAAGACAATCTGCAGAATAAGGGGACATATTTGCAAATCATATATCTGATAAGGAGTTAATATCCAGAATATATAAGAACTCCTATAAACTCGAGAACAACAAAAATAAACAATCTAATTTAAAAATGGACAAAGTCCTTGAATAAACATTTTTCCAAAGAAGATATATGAATGGCCAATAAGCACATGAAAAGATGCTCAACATCACTAATCATTAGGGAAATGCAAATCAAAACCACAGTGAGATACAATCTCATACCCATTAGGATGGCTATTATCAAAAATAAAACAAAACGAAGATAAATGTTAGCAAGGATGTGAAAAAATTGGAACTTTTGAGCACTGCTGGTAGAAATGTAATATGCTGCAGCCACTATGAAAAACGGTATGAGGTTCCTCAAAAAATTAAAAATAGGATTATTATATGATCCAGTAATTCCACTTCTGGGTATATACCCAAAAGAATTGAAATCAGGTACTTGAACAGATATTGTGCACTCATGTTCACAGTAGTATTATTTACAATAGCCAAAAGGTAGAAGCAACCC